GCGATTAAAAGTTTGAATTCTTGGAAATTTGGATAGTGCCACCTCTTTGCTGATCCTGTGCTCCTGATACTTTTTCAGTTTTCGGGAGTTTTCGCGATTTGAAGTTTGAAATTCTTAGAAATTCAGATAGTGCCACCTCTTTGCTGATCATGTGCTCCTAATACTTTGTCAGTTTTCGAGATTCTTGATTTTCGCGATCCAAATGAGAAATTTATTCTTTTCATGGCGTAAAAATAGATCACATTCCGTGATACTCGAGTGTTGGCCATTTTGATACCTCATGTCCGTAACGATAGACATTTTATTCCCCTCACCCTTTGTAGACTACCCCCGCGGAACTATGCTCCGTCCAGGTATTCCTACGTCCATGATGCGAATAATGCTGAGTTATGTCACCTATGTACAAGATGATTACGTGGTGTTGATTGGGTATCCATATTTCGTCGTGTAAAAATTACAATCTTTCGAAATGTATCTAGTTGGATTGACAGGTGGCATCGCCACTGGCAAAAGCACGGTTGCTGCTGTTTTTCGGGAGTACGGCATCCCTGTTATAGATGCCGATGTAATTGCCCGAAAAGGTTAGGATACGTTGCGTTTTACCTTGCCGTCATCGACAGCTATATCCACAAATTTTAACATACAAATTGCATTAAATGTTTTTAAATGATTAGTTTTTATGTAATTTTTTTCCTGTAAATTATTGTTTATACGTTTTTGTCTTTATCGGCATGAAATCGGTTTGATGTTTATATTTAAATACTGTAAATTGTATTTGCATAATTGAAGCATTTATATAGTTTACTGTGCGGTATTTCGCGATATTGACATTTTGATTGGAGGTTTAAAACGGATGAGATTTGTCTAAAAATTCGTGGTACTTTTCTGCTGAGTCACGTATCAAATATTTTTTTGTAAATACAAAAATGAAGAAGCTGAGAACGATGCTTGCATGCTGCTATATTTCTAGTTGTTGAGCCCGGAAAATCAGCGTGGCATAAAATAGAGCAGGAGTTTGGTCCGGATGTGTTTTTGGACACCAAGCAATTGGACAGAGCAAAACTTGGAGATTTAATATTTAACGATGTCGAAAAGAGAAAGAAACTTAACGCCATCACGCATCCCGATATATATAAAGAGATATACTGGCAGACTATCAAATACTTTTTGCAAGGTCATCCGTTCATAGTCATGGATCTGCCGTTGCTTTTTGAGACAGGACACATGTTGAATTACTTGCACAAAATTATAGTTGTAACGTGGTATGTAGAGATTTCGATTAGTACGTGAAACACATGAAAACATATATGTTTAAATTATTTTCTGTTATTTATTATTTCCAGCGAAGAAGACCTTCAGCTTCAACGATTAATAGAACGCACTGGATTTACAGAAGCTAAAGCGAAATTAAGAATAGCCGCGCAAATGTCTCTTGAGAAGAAAGCGGAGATGGCAAATTTTGTAATTGAGAATTCCGGCAGTGCGAGAGACACCAGGGAACAGACTATAAAAGTAATTAATGTGTTACAATCCTCCAAACATCATTGGAAATTACGTCTTTTAGTCGGATTTTGTTGCACCGTACTGTTAGCTGGCGCGTACTGGCTCAGAAGCAGAAGTTCTAAATCATTATCCATTACAACATGAAATTTTCTTTCACGAAAATTATTCAGTTTAGAAACAAATAGTTTTCGGCGAAACAGAGTTGCATGATAAAAGCTAATGTAAATTTTAACTTTTGTACAACACCCGTGCATTTGTGAAATCAAAATTTTTATAAGCTAAAGCACAGATGACTGGTGAAATTATGATTATGAGCTGTTGTAATGCGAATTGGTAATTACGTTTGTTGGGTAAATCATTTGCATCATGCAATAAATTCGGTTCTTTTACTCGACGCGAGGGGAAAAAAAGATTTGTATACTAGTACTACAAGTTACAACTGCGTTCCGTTACAAATAATTACTCTTTCATAAAACAGTTTTTAATTGCAACACGTTAGAATTAACGGTGGGGCAAAGGGATACATAGCAATTTATCTATGTGTGTATGTGGAAAGGGCGCATGCATGTATGTGTTACGTACATTTTAGGCAATAGAAAGTCGCTGTAGAGTACGTAAACTATAGAGCTATCTTACTTGTGAGCTATCAAATGAGAAACAAGAGAGAGATAAATGTGGTTGTTGCTCGTGAGCATTTGATTAGACAGCTTTAGTACAATTTGTTACATCGAATCACGATAACAATTAGCGCTACAAATTATAATTATTTTCACCTATATTGAAGATGCATCGTGAATGTTATAATTATAGTTAATAATGCATTTATCAAATTTAATGCAAAAACTTATATAATAATAAATGTGAATAAAAATGAACAATATATATATCATATAGCGTTAGATTCTTCTGGAATAATATACCCTTACTTTTTAAAAAATTTAGATCAATAATGAAAGACTAAAAGTTGTCCACACGGAAGTTTCGCTCTCGCAAGTATCTGAGGATAAAATCTTACACATCCGTCTTATCTTCTTTTTTTTTATTTTAATAAAGTGCCTTTGAACATAAATTTATACGTAAAAGATTATACATTTGTATGCATATATATAAAATACGCGAGTACATAGTGCTCAATTTCTTATGCTAATTGTCGCAAAATATATACAAGTATCGTGGTTAACAACCATGATTCACAATGTTCGGATGTATGTTCATATTTGGTGTACAATGCATTTCTTATACACTGTATACTGCGTATAATTTATACATTGTGTATGTATAAGTATAAATTTATAATTGATCGTTCTAACAGAAAGCTGTTCGTTTAGGTAAATTACAGAAATTGGTAAAGGTCTGTAAGTACTTAATTAACATGTCACTTAATGCAAGCAAAGATTTGCTTACTAAAAGTACAAAATTCTCGCGGGTAAATAAATGGAATACACTATGTACAATATCCCATACGGAATAGAATGGTGAGGTTCTGCAAATCCGAACCAATAAAGCGCGGTGCGAACCTTCTCTTAATTAGATATCATTCTAAATATACTACATATATATATATATATATATTTCTTTCTAGTCCTCTTTTGTACTTATGTTAACGTATTATCTGAAAGAGATATCTCCTATTTATGTCTCTTTACTTGACAATTTCCTCAACGGTATCCTTATCGAATATTTTCCAATTTTGTTTTACACAGAGACGAGATTAATATGTGATTAACGCAGTGACACTATAACGCAATAAGAAAAAGAGTTAAAAGAACATAAAATGTCACGGCGTAACTACATCTCATAATTATAGATTGTCATTCCTGTTATCCTACAATTATACACACTTTGAACATATAATAGTTGTCGACATTATCGACAATCGTTATTGCGTAGTTGCATATTATCGTATATTCTTAACACGCTATTCACAGAGGGAAAGCAATTACATTTTACATATTTCATATATAATTACAAAAAGATGAGGGTACAAATAAAAAAAAACTGATATTTCAACAAAGTTGAATAGAAGAATCGTTTTAAATACATAAAATGTTTCCTTAATGATTGATCAATCTTTTGCACAAATGAATGAAATATAAAAAGATTTGGAGAGAAAGAGAAAGGATGACGATTGCATTACATCCATACAAATGTGTCTATTTATACTACGGTGATACATCATCCCACAGCCGCTGGTTTCTATCTTCCGTATATACTTTCGAGCGTACTTGTAAGAGAAGTACGATTTACAGTAGAGGAAGATGGACGCGCATTATGATCCTTGATTCGCCTACATAGCCGAGTAGGTGGTATATGTGTGTACATAGTTATCCTATCAGATACAAAGTGTCGTTCCTATTGTTGTGACGCAACTTATTGCAAGACAGGCCTAAGTTCTTGCGTCATAATAGGGTAAGAAACGAGGGGTGCGGTCGGGCCAGATATCGACAAGGGTAAACTGGCGGGTTGCTGAGTGTTCGGTGGTTGCTGATTAGTCGGCTGGGGAGGCCCGGAGCCGCTCATCGAAATAGTTTGTTGAGCCATGGTGACGATCGGCGGTGGTATCGAGACCGGTGCCATGGAGACCGCCGCGATAGAGACGGGAGCTACGGTCGCGATGCTCACGGGGACAGTGGCCACGCTGGCGGTGACCGTTCGGAGGGTGCCCGCTGCCACGGCCGCGTTGACCATTTGTTGAGGTGTCGGAGCCTGTGACTGTGGAACCGTATTCGTAATCGTAACCGCCGGAACTGTTACAGCGGTCACGTTTGCGGTTCGTTTGCCCGACATTCTTAACTGGGCGTTTTGGTCCAACAGAAACTCATTTGTCGCCGTCAGGTCGCTAACCTAGATCAAAATAAAGTGTGTATATAGTAAATGTATGTGCGTGTAAGTGACATTTTCAATGTACATACGTACCTGTTTCTTTAACTCTTCTATCTTCTTCCTCAGTAGTACATTTTCATCCTCCAGAACAATGGCTCGTGCCTCGTTACGCGGTATTACGGGGTAATAATAGCTCGGCGTGACCGTCGGTTGAGTCGCGTGCTGCTGACCCACGATCGTAGAGGCTTCGAAGTGTACAACCGTTTCACCCGATACTAATCGCCTCTTTGGTTCTGGCGGTCCGATATAATCAGCTGGATGCGACGTGTTGTAACCGCCGTTATTAGCGACCAAATTGTTATGATCCTGCATTTGCCAGTGAAAGCTGCGTTCATAAAACAAAGAGTTTAACTTCGTTTCGTTAAGATTAATAAGAAAAACATGTAAAAAAAAAAGAGTAACAGCCTCGATCACACGGTGCTTACTTTCTGTCCTCCTCGTATCTGCGTCCGTCGCCGGCGACACCACCGCCGTTGCTGGTGCCGTTGAAGTTGAGTTGCGGTCTGGATGCGTTGTGATGGGACGGCGACATGAGATTGTGCTGCGGCTCCTCCTTCTTCCAATGCCTGAACTTGCAGTTGACCCTCTGGCAGCTCCCCTTCATAAAGTCTTTGCACAACGGATGATCCGGCTTGTCGTTGTTGCAAATCTTGGATCGATTGAGAACGTGGGGCGGCAGTTCGCCGGTAGCTCTGAAACGCTTCTCTTCGCTCTCCGTGCAATGGAGAAACTTGCATTCCAACCACTTACATTGACCGTTCTGGAAGTCGTGGCAGAAGGTATATTCCTCCACAGGATCGTCCTCGGAACGCTCATGAAGATACTTGCAACGCTTCCCACGGTGGCAAACATTTCTCAAAAAGTCTCGGCAGATCCGGTTCGCGGAGTCAGTGGTGTCAGTCGCGTTCGCATTCAATCCGCCCGCCATCTCGACCGCCTGCTGATGCTGCCCCGCCGTTGCCGTCGCCGTCGCCGTCGTTGTCGTCGTCGTCACCGTCGCCGTCGCCGTTGACGTCCCCGTCGTCTCGCTGTTTTCCAACTTTACTTTCAGTTTTTTCATCGGTGGCACATAGCGATTCGCACGCCGGCGTCGTTATCGCTGTATCCTCGACGATCGATCGATGAACCAGCTAAGCGCAGCTAATACGCGCGCCCCTGAATAAAGAAAAAGAGACAACGGTGGATTAAAGGTGTACAACGATATTATTAGTGCTTGAAGAACGTAACTTTGTACAGCTTTCACCGCTAAATACTTACGACGAGCCATTGATTAGCCTGCGAAACTCATACACAATATTTTACTTAATTTTTATCGAATTAAATTTAAACGGATTGATATATTAAGGGATATAGCAGAGATGTATGACACGACGCTTTCAATCTTGTTTAATTAATTAAGTTAGTTTTTATTTCCCCTTTTCGTATAATGACTATTACATCGGTAGTAAGATTATATCAACATTACTATGTACAGCGTTTTTATTTACCATATGTATTTTGATAATTTGATATATACGCTTAATCTGCCAAGAAAGTGAGCTCGCTTAAACGAACGAGCGACCGACCGACCGACCGACTTGTGGCGTACTTTTTTGGAAGTGTCACATACCACCTTTTTGTTTTCGCCGCGACACACAATGATTTCCGTTATCTAATGCGGTACAAGTAGACATGGCACTCTCTAAACTAAACTAACGAATTAAGAAAATACTGTCAATTTTCTCATTTTACGTTTCGTATCAAAACAATTAATATAGAAAACTACGGTTATGTATATATATATATATATATGTTGGATCTTCCCGCTTTAAGACGTTATCAGACGATATCAAGGCCATTCCAAGGTAGGATCGATAGAACGGTATTGAGTGCTGAGAGAAATTTGCCTTAGACAGGTAAATATCCGCTAATTCATTTGCGTTTAGGTCGCTCGAACGGATATGCACTTTTATATATTGTCACGCTACCCAACATGTATACATACGAAGGAAAGAAAATTAAGGTATCGTTGTGTAAAACAAGGTCTAAGGACCCAAGATTCGCCGCAAGACTACGATTCGCGATCGAATTTTCGCTCGAGAAATGATTGTGATCGGAAGAGGCGCGAAAGCAACACATGTGTAATATACGCATGCTAATGTAATACGTCTCTCTCTTCAACTCTCACTATCGCCTGCTAAGATCGTTTCCAACTCTTAGAGTCGCTCTCAACTAAAGAGCTTGAAAAAGAAAGAAAGAAAGAAAGAAAGAAAGAAAGCGTATCACCTGATAGCCAATGAATTTTCTACAATTGTCTATGTACAAATGTATGAAGGTTTTGAATAGTCGAAAACAAGAGTACAGGTGTGCGTGCGTGTTGTTTCTTTCTTTCGCTTTGAGAGAGTATTGCATGGGAGAGTATTCTCATAAATTCTATCCGCAGTAAAGGATACATATATATATATTTAAATCTTTAGAATATGCTATATAGAAAGGGAAACGTATCGTTTAAACAAAGAAATATGTAACAAAATACGTAATATGTTGTAAAATTGAGCCACATTATATAGAAGATATGATATTTAGCAGCTTGGCAGCATGTTGAACATTTTACGTGGTATCGTGCCTACATTTTCCTCCAGCTACTTTTACTCCCCAAAGAGCACAAGTCGAGAGCTTCCGTGTTGCGAGAGATGATCTTTGATCTTGCTCCTTCTTTTGTAATAACGCGACACGTTCTTGCCGAACATTGCAAAATTCCTAACGAGAGACTCCTTATCCTTAGCCCCGAGAAGACTCGATTTCGGGAGAAATTAAACAAATATTTATATATGTATATATGTACAATTCTTAACGATTGCTTGTATAAAAAACATGAAATTGTGGTCGCCTTCAAACGACAAAACGGGAGGCTTAACGAAATTTACAGTCAATTACAGTTCAAGTCGATATTGTAAAAGGAGGGAAAGAAATGGAAAGGATAACAGGTGTTATATGTACATAAAGGGATATTAGATGGCGGGGAGGATTAGAATATTTTCTCCCACAGCATCCACACGAGCATGAACGCGATGGGTGCGACGTAATGTATCGGTACGGTGTAAGTCGCACTCAGCAGATCACCGCATTGTGATTTGAGGGACATGTATTTCTTGGACAGCTCCGCTTTTTCCTCGACGAACGCGTTGTACTTTTCTTTCACTATAACCAGCTCCTCGTTGACCTCCTGCATCCGCTGCGCATCGTTCTTGGCGCGGTAGTAGAGCTCCTTCAGCCTGTCAATGACGATCTCGTTCGGCTCGCGTATCAGCCAGTCCTTCAATTCCTCCAGCTCCCTCTGCACCGTCTGCCGCGCCTCCAGACTATCCTCGCCTCTCAACGACTCGAGAGAGCCGATCAACGTCTGCAGCACGTAGTCTTTCGAGTGGAGAGCTTGTTGCATCGTATCATTTTTCGCGAGGGGTTTCAAAGTTTTAACGTAATCTCCTTCGGCGCGCTCCTCGCATTCCGGCACGTCCTTGTCCTCCTGTTCATCTACCGCAGGATCGATGACGGTACAGTTGTCTAGCGTATCCTCGGTACCCGGGAAGGTCGGAATCTCCGCGACTTTGTCATCTTTGGCAATTTGCTTCGTCGACTCGCGATGCTGATCGTTGTCAACATTAGCGAATCGCACCTCCAGCTTGCTAGGTACGAACGCCTGCTTCAACGCTTGTTCCACCGTGCAGTAGTCCTGCTCCTCCTTCCTATTCTCTATGACGCTCTTCTCGCTCGTGTCGCCATTCGTAACGCTGCACGTGTCGTCGGTCGCTTCTGAGTTTGTGTCCGAGTCTCCATTGGTGTCGCCGTTGTCTAGATTGGCCAAGTTCCCATTGACTAAAGTTCGTCTGGACGATAACGGCGGTGGCAGAATATATTCGGTGAGACTATCGTCGGCTGTCGTCTGCATGTCGCCCATCTGCTCTTTGGTAAAGGATAAATCAGATTTCAGCTGCTTCGAGTCGACATCCGAGGAATTCAACTGATTATCCTGCTCACTCTTGCTAAAGTAATAATTAATCTCGATATCCGTCTCCATGTTGTCGACATGAATGGAATTCAATTTGTTAAGAATAGCATTGATAGCCTCTATGGGATTCTCCTCGCCCTTCGAGTCAAAATTCTCGCCGATCTCCAGCTTCAGGTTCATATCTTGCAGGGTCTGCGCGTAATTCCTCAAGGCGGTGATTTGCTTGTAAATATTGACGGAATCTAACCGAGAATCGTGCAGCCTCGCGCGCAGATTCTTCTCGACTTTCGACTGATCCTCGAGCCGCTTGGCGAGATCACGCTTCTCTTGTTCCGCGCCGAGCAGCACGTCCTTCACCTTCTCCTCGCTCTCGACGAGCTTGTTGCTGGTCTCGTGGAGCTTCTTCTGCGTTTCCGCATACTTGGCGCTGAGCTCCTGCAGCTCCGTTTGCGTGTACTTGGCGACGTTGTGCAAACTCTGACACTCCTCCTCGGTTTCGTTCAAACGCCCCTCCAATTGCACCAGTCTCTGAGTGACCTCCAGTTTCTCCTGCAAGACCTTCTGCAACGCCTCCTTTGCGACGTTCTGATACTGCGCCTTATCTTCCTGAACCTTTGCGAGTTCGTTCCTCATTTTGTCCTCGGAATAGTTCTTCGAGTAGACCGTCAGCTGACTCTCGACGGTCATTACCCAGGACAGCAGACGATCCTCCGTGATGAGTGCCTTCCACGATTGGTTGGCGGCTTTCCGAGTATTCTCCACCAGTTGCTGCAGATAGCCCAGTTTCGAATACAATGCTTTCTCTCGCCTCGACGCCTCCTGCATTATCTGGTTAAGCTTGTAGAGATCCTCGAGAGAGACGTTGCCGGCGGGCGAGCTGACGGAGGTGCTGAGACTGGCCTTGGCCTCTTTCCCATCCGGCAGATAGAGCTTTAGGGTGGCGACTATACAACCGTGGGTCACCTTCTTTGTATTCTCCACTACGTCCACGCCAAATTGCACTATATCCCCGGAGCATACCTCCTTGGGCGTTGACTCCAGCCCGGAAGCGCTGAGTCTCTGATTATTTACGAACGTGCCGTTGCTGCTGCACGTGTCCTGCAGGTAAAACTTGCCGGAGGAGTACCAGAGCAGCGCGTGATTCCTCGACAACACTTTGCAATCGAAGATTGCGTTGTTTGTCGCGGCTCTCGCCCTGGCCACCGAGCGACCAATCTTGACTGGCTGTTCCAGTGTCAACGTACGCTCCAGGAAGGGATGGGAATTGTCCCGACAGATGAGAACGCCTTTCGCGGTCATCTTGTTGTTGTTGTTGTTGGTGGTGTTGTTGTTCTGCGTATTGTTCTGGTTCAAGTTGGAGTTGTTCTGCCCAGCGGGCGAACTGGCATTTTGTACCCAACCACCGCTGTTAGCTACAACCATAGCCGAGCGAATTCGAGGAAGAGTCCTTTCACGAACGTAAATCGGATGGAGCACTGACAAGAAGTGTTATCAGCTTGGAGATATGTCACGTAGCGACACCGCGATCGTGGCTGGATCTAAGCCGAGACGTTGGCTTCGCCTCGCTTCACGTCAAACGTGTCGGATGTACGAGCTCGGTCACGAGGATCTCGACGTGACCTTTCGGGACCTGTCGGCCGACACGACGAGGCGTGACGACATCGTGTCCGGCATGTTTTCTTCCTCAATGAAATATCACCGCACCGCCCGTCACTCTCGCTCCCTTATTTTCGTCGAGAATCCCCCCTCCCTCTCTCTCTCTCTCTCCCTCCCTCTCTCTCCCTTCCCCTTTCGTCCGATCAGCCAATGTCTCCGGACTCGAGCGCGGAACTCTGGTCCCGTTTGGCAAAAACGGCACGCATCGACCGAGTGGATCCACCTCCCAGGCTCGAAAATCGGGTCAGCGAAGCACACGCGGCACGTCTCGCGTCTCCGTCGCGACGACGTCGTCCCGCTCCCGCAGGCGTGAACACGCTCCGGCCGAGCGCTCGGTCGTCCGCGTCAGCCTGACCCCGTCGGTCGCGCGCGGCCAGTCGGACACGCGGCGTCGGCGACCGGGGGTGAGAATCGGCCACGGGGCACCACCGCGGACTCGAGCGCACCAACGAAAAATTTGCGCACGTACGGACGACGTATGGGACTCGCTGAAAATACAATGGTTCACTGTTCCCCGTGTCCGGACTGTCTCCGGAGAGCCAGCCGTGCCGCGTTCCAGTTCCGCGTTCCACGCATTAGCCATATGGGTGGAACGAGAGAGGAATGACGCGCCGCACCGCTCGAAATACCTACCTTGCCCACCTACGATCCGATACGCCGCTCTCGCAAAGGTCCGGCAAAACTCATTTTTCAAAAAGGAACTCATCTTTCAAAATGACACCATTCAAAGCTGTCCTATGTGATACTTGACTCGAATATTATCTTTCGTCCGGAGGAAAACCTTGACAATTTACAGGAATCGACCTTGCCGACACGGCTACAGAGAGTGTATGCACAATTTCTCACGTACGAGAGCATAACCTGAAAGTGCAAACGTAGCGCCTCGCAAAATCATCCAAAGTTGAAATCACTGCGAACAATCTCCGAGGTATTACATCCGTATTACTGATTAACATAATAATTTTCACCTTGTCATTATCCCGTGTTACGTTACAAAATCTACCGTTCTCTTTCCAGTCTTTCGCTAAATACTACATTCCAAATACAATGTCAGACGATGACGACTACATGTCCGATAAGTTTCTACAAGACTCGGATAAACGTGTCTCGTCGAGTCTTATATACAAACATTCTGACAGAAGAGAATTTGCATTGATGAAGAAAAGGGCTGAACTCGAGTCTAGGCTGAAAGAACAAAACAAGTCGATACGAATAGTCGAAGCGGAAAAAAGGGAGGAAGGCTTGTCATGTGCCATTAGTAACGCAAATAAAGGTCTGTGTATACTTTACGTAACATGTACAACAGAGAAATTTATGATGTTAACAATAGTAAGAACGGAAGAAAAGATACCAGTTTTAGTGGACAGTGATAATTCTGATATTTGTCCCTAGGTTTTGAGATGCTAATGAAGATGGGATACAAACCTGGTCAAGGAATAGGCAAGACTCAATCGGGAATGACTGAACCGATTCCTGTACAAGTGAAAGCGGATAGACAAGGCCTGGGCAAAACGCTAAAGAAAAAGGATTCGTACAAGCATGGGAACGCAAACGCCAAATTGGATAATATGGACACCCGAGATTTCCGTAGCAGGCTAGCTCAAGGAAAGGCGGAACAGCTGCAAAAAACTGATTTATACAAAAGTCAGAAGGTGTGCCAAGAACTAGATGCTAAAGAAAATATTGAGAAACCTGAAGAACCGTGGTTTTGGCTAGAGAGCAGGGAAGAGAAACAAGTTGACGACACAGACGACGACGACGACGACGACGACGACGACGACGAGGATGACAAGGACGAAGAAACATTGAGCAATGTAGAAAAACTCGATATTCTTACTAGATATTTAAGAAAGAAATACTGTTACTGTATCTGGTGTGGAACAAAGTTCGACGACGAAGACGATTTAAGAGATAACTGTCCGGGAAGTACAAGAAACGACCACTAAACATGATACATAATATTATATCGATAACATTATCTTTGCACTATATTAGAATCAATAAATTTTGTATGCCACTAAAAACATTCTCCAAGCGTGTGCTCTAAAACACGATATAATACACGGAGAAAAAAGAACCGTAGATAAAATTACGTTACTTGCGTGGTCAAACCCCACGTTGTATACACGAGAGACATAAAAAACCCATTAGCGGGTATGATGCAAAACATGGGAAAAGTAATGGTTTCGGGCGAGAAAAAATGGAGCACCGAGCAACTCTAAGAGCAACAGAGGGTCGTTATCCCTCACACCCACGACCGAACTATACTATCAAGGCAGCAGGGGATCGCTATGGCTTTTACACACGATGGGAGAGGGAGTGGCAAGTTACCTATAAAAGCACCCGTTTGATACTCTCTTCTTTCATTTCATCTGAAAGCCTGTACGGTGACCGTCTGTTAAATATTTCAATAAACACGATACTATAATGCTGGCAGCCCCGAAATCTTTGCTAATCCTCGTGGTTTATGTTACAATCAGCGATGCTGAAATAACCGAGGTAGATGACGAAAGTTGCGAGACTCTACAGTCAGAAGTACACATTACTAAAGACGAATACGACGAGATAGGACGTTTGAGAAGAACGTGTAGCAGTGATATATCGGTCACTAAATGTGAAGGATTTTGTAATTCCCAAGTACAGCCGAGCGTTGTTACTACCACAGGCTTCTCCAAGGTAAATTACTGCGACACCTCGCGCAAAGCAAGATATTGCCTTTAATTAGGCATGTAATTCTCTTTTTTACAACAGGAGTGCTACTGTTGCCGTGAGAGTTATCTCAAGGAAAGATTCGTCGTCTTAAATCAATGCTACGACGCGGATGGAATCAAATTAATAGGCACGGATGACGAGACGATGGAGATCAAGATACGAGAGCCGGCTGAATGTAAATGCCTCAAGTGCGGCGACTTTGCCAGATAAAAACCAACAACGATTTGAAATATAATTTATACAGTTTCTCGGTGCAGTGGAATTGCAACAATTATATATATACATATATGACAGTTACACCGATAGATGCAGCACAGAAATAAAAATATATTGTAATGACGATAAAAATAAATAGTACTTTCAATGTATTTACATGAATCTACTTGTAAATTCCTGATGTAATTTAATCTTGTGTATCGCTTCATGTTACGAGATAAATATAAATTATTTGAATAAAAATTTGCTATACTTGCTTTACCTAATAGTTGTTTATACTTGTCACGTATACGTATATAAATCCTTAACGGAAATGTTGGCGTACAAATGGTTTGCAAATTTCGAAAGATTAAAATCTTTAAACTTTAACACGATTTTATTAACGCGTAGTTAATGTTAAAACAACTTGGACCATCGCGGGCCTAATGACCAACTTTGTAGATAATAACGATAGTATTAAAGAAAAATATCCCCGCCGGAAGCAGTTCTAACCTTGTAAATATGCCATTGCTATGCTGAGAAGGTATGTATACCATCGGAAAGATTTTTAACACATCCTAGATACGCAATGAGATATGGTAGTAAGGTCGTACTATTGAATGAGCATGGTTTCATCAACATGCCTAAACTGCACTCGAGTTTTAAGAAATATTCACAATATTATAATTGACGAGATATCAGCTGTTATAATAACTTATATTATGGCTGAGTTTTATTCTGTATCCTGGGCCACATACTCCCGCCAGTAGTAAGACCTTGCACGACTTGACAATTATAAAAAGAAATCGTTAGGGCGAGGAGAAGTATACTATATATAATGTGTGTGTATATGTAGATACTTTCCGAGTATAAAAATGACATCCTTAGCAAGTCAGTGCTGTCGGCGGGGATCTGAGGGGTTTCAAGATCTGAAATTATTTTTCCTTTAGCATTATTAAATATCAAATTATAATACAAGAGAAAGCTTTAAATCATACGCATGTATGTGAGTGCTGTAACTTGCTGCGACAAGTATTGTCAGTCCTTAAACTTGATTTTCACAATTTGAAAAGTTTTTACACCATTTAGCTTTAAATCCAAAAGATTAGTGGAGATTGCACTTAAAGTTTAAGATGCTGGTCATTATTGTTTTCAAAAAAAGTACACGTACCCTGTTGTTTACAAATCAATTCTTATTGGACATGCTTACTATAGAGAACTTAATTCTTAAATTGTTTGTCAAATATTCTGTCATAAGTGAAAGAAATGATCTTGGTCACATATCTTGAGAGAAATCATCATATATATCACAACTTGTAAATAGAATCATTACCCAGTGAGAACACTGACGTCGAATCAACGTCGAATCGACGTTGATCAACGTCGATTCGACGTCGATTCGACGTTGATCAACGTCGATTCGACGTTGATTCGACGTCAGTGTTCTCACTGGGTAGGCTACTATGTTAATTAACAAGAAAAAATCTAGTTCAGG